CAGCCGGGCGGAGCCGGGCCGGGCCGAGCCGAGCAGAGCAGGAGGGCCGGGCCGCCCGGGGCCGGGCTGCTCTTCCCCTCAGCGCAGGGAGCTCTGCCTGGGGACCTCTAGTGGCAGCTGCGCGGCGTCTGAGAGGGAAAAGGAAACAAACACCTGCCGTTGTGTTTTTGTTTTTCAGGCTGGTATGTATTAGCAGCACGTTTTAAAAAGCAAGCTCTGGAAACTCTTAGAATTAGTGGACAGAAATAACACGAGGGCATCGGTTTATCTGGAGCGGGAGAATCGGAAGTTGTCTTCCTAGCGCACCTGTTTTTAATGGTATTGCTATAAACAAAGAGCCACATGCTACTTGTACGTTTATACACCTACCTAGACATCTAATGCTATTCAACTCCAGCACAGACTCTTTAGGTTGAACACCTGGTACCAGGCTCCGTACTGCCGTCTGAGCAGGACGGCCAAGAGGACAGGGAACAGAAAGGCACTGCAGGCCCAGAACGGGGGCAAGAGGAGGCAGCAAGGCATTTTACCTCAGTGACATCTTTGCAACCCGACTCCGAAGAATGACCGTGTTTCATTACCACATTTCTACACATTTCTCATTATCTGCAATCAGTTTTCCACCTCCATCCTCCACAATTCCCATCCTCAACAGATAGATACCACATAAAATCCTAAGTGAATAAAAAAAACACCTGACCCAAACACTAACTGATCAACTTTTTGGTGCAGCTGTGGAGTAACGACTGAGAGCAACAAGTTTCCCCAAAAAAGTTAGGGATATGTGGGGATTCCTCACTTTATTACTTGCCTTGCATTTTGATCCTCCAAATCCTGTCCCCCTGGAGCAGCATGCAGGGTATGCTCTGCAGACAGAAGCTTTTAGTTTCCTGCCCACTGCCAGCAGAATCTCACACTGGGTTTATTCCTGGCAGAGTAACTTTTCACTGACTGACCTCAGCTCGCATCCCCCAGGCCCATTTCCCAATACATTCTCTGCACAGTTACACACTTTCTTTGGTGCTACAGCAACGAGAGAAGCCAACTTACCTTTCAAAAGCTGCAGCCAGAAGAGTGCTGTTTCATCTCAGTTTGTATGTAGTACCACTGAATGTGAAAGACTTTAAAACATTTATGCCCCCATCAGGCCCTTAGAAAAGTATTTTAAGGGCATGGAAAAAATATTTAAAAATCACTGACCAGAGGATGACCTGGTAAGTGAAATTTTCAAGCCATCTAATGCTGACAAAAGGCAGTCTCAAACTTTCAGTTAGTTTGCTGTGCAGATAGGTAGCAATGCAAGTGTTGGAAGGAAGTTTAGAGCAGAATTTTCAGGACGTGCCAGGATCAGTCTTCAGCTTATAATCTGTTGTTGGCATTTACTGCTCTACTGAGCATTTTCCCTAAACAACTTCATTTTATGTCAGTACACATCTGACATAATCTTCATTACTTCTGAAACACCTTTATAACAAGGACAACTTAAGTAACTTCCAGTCCATGTCACAAAAGACAAACTAAAAAAACCCCACACCAATAATTATGAAATGTAATAAATATTGTAGAATAAAGGCAAGTTTCACAATTAACACTGTTAATCATTCTGTTACTTCTACTGCCAGCCATGTGTTGTTGCTGTGCTGTTTTTATTCAGCAGCTGTGCATGCTGCAATGCTAGGTGCTCTCATTTGCCCTCTGCACTACTTTAAATTCAGACACATCTGCATTGTTAGAAAGCTACATCAGCAAAAGGGAACTACAGACTGTCAGGAGTTACAAATCCAACTGACGACCTCTACAATAACAAGCCTTTATTTAGTAAACCTGGAATTTTCATGCAACATCTAAAAACCTCTTTAGTGGCCAAACTTTGTACGTTTACATTTCAACACAAAAAATGTAGGTTCAAAAAATGTTGTATTAGAATTTCAGCAACGTGGCCATGATTGACAAACGATTACAGAGCACTGTGGTATCTTTCCCCCCTACCTACGTATCTCGCTCCCTCCTCAATAATTAGCATTTTACTTCACAAAGATTTTTTTCAGCAGTCTGCATGCATGACAGCGGGTGAAATAAAACTGCAATATATTATGGTGGGAAAGGGTTTGTGTTATTTAGAGTGCTTACTATATTACTATAATTTATTTCAGAATTATTTGGGGAGCCAAAAAAATCAGAACACTCCACCCTCCCCTTGTTTTACCGGTTAATCTTTGACACTACTGTAGGACTGAAGGAGCAGCAGTAAGCGCACATCTCAAACCTCCCCCACCTCCAGGAGCACAGTGCTACAACCTTTACTTTCAAGAAGTAAATGCTTGAAACTTCTCAGTCTTGGGGTGCACAGCAGAGAGGAGCACCCGCTATTTTTTTACTCTGCCCTTTCCCCCTTACCTTGTGCAGCGATCCAAGACACTGCCTCTCCTTTCACGTACGTGTAGCCGGAAAAAACCCCCGGTGCTCCAAGCCGCTTTCTCCCGGAGCCATCTCATCTGTTTTCCTCAGGAACTGACTTACTGTGCTCCTCTTGTCCGAAACAGCTGCTATCTCGGCTAACCCACCTTCTTCTCAGATCACTCATAGTGAAAACATTCCTCACTTCCTGTCTCAAAAAACTTGCTCTGGATATCATTCCACTGGGTGAAGAGCTAGGGGTGGAAGAAAATACCACAACGAAATAACCCTGTGCCCGGCAGCTCTTCAGGGAGCCCCTTCATGTGATCCTGCGCTGCATGAGCGCAACTTGCGTTCTCAGGAATATTTTCAAATCGGCCGTCTCCGTGTACCTCCGTGTGTGTGCATTTAATTTCCTTTCCTGGAGGCGTTCCCTTTGCTCTATCCATGCGGAAGGATACGCTGAAAGAATTAAAGCAAAGGCCCGTATGCTTGTAGCCCATTACCTCAGAGAGTTGGAATGCCTGGCAGGGAGAATGTCAGCAATGAACAGCTGCTTCTCTGGCTACAGGGGCATTACAGAAATAGGGGCTACAACACATAGCAGGCAATCCTTCCTTTTTATAATCGTATGATCATTTATTTTAAGCCTTTCCAATTAAGGCAAATGTCTTACCAAAAACTCGGTTGGTCTTATTTTCATGCAGCTTAGAAATATTTGCAAGGTTTCATGCATATGTGTCATACCAAATGACCTATGCACACACATTTTTGTCTGCAGCTAAAACCAAGTCCTTGCAAA